ATATATATATATATATATATATATATATATATATATATATATATATAGAGAGAGAGAGAGAGAGAGAGAAAGTGAGTTCGATCACAACGTAGACGCAGTCTGAGTGTTTTCACAACCAACTTGCTTACGTGGAAGTAACCTCGTGAAAAGTAAAGCATAGCTGAATACCAGGCTCACTGATTTTGAACATCAGTACAGGATAAATTCAGTGACACAAAACTCACTGTAATGCAATCAACACATATAAGCTCTACGATCACTGAAATCTGGAAATCGTTTGGTTATCGTCCAGCCTGATAAGAGCTCTGGGGTCGTGGTCATGGACCGAGAGAAACATATTGAGAAAATGTCGCCTATTCTACAAGACACTTCGAAATTTCGAGCCTAAGTGGAAACTGATAGTCCAGAAACAATAGAAAAACGGAATTCAAAAGAGTTGCAAACACTACTGGAAGACGGATTCATCATTGATACCGATTTCAAATCTCTCAAACCGACTGGCAGCACCATACCCCAAGTGCATGGCCTCCCTAAGACACATAAGCCAGGTATTCCACTCAGACCTATCCTATCGATGATCAGTTTTCCCGTTCTTATGTACATAAGACACCAGTTTCAGTTCCCAAGGTAAAGCTTATCGACAAATAGACGATGTGGTGGCGGTAAGCCCTTTGGGGTCTATCCTCGCGGACCTATTCGTCACGAAGTTAGAAAGTGAGGCGGTGCATACCTTAGATTAGTGTTGCTTATTTAGAAAAAACATTGATTTTATACTCATTATAGGACAAGACCGACAACAAGTAACTGCTTCCCTTCCAGTCATGCGTGATTTTCACAAGAATAAACCTTTCCCACTTGAAGAGGAACAAAACTATCGCCTCGCATTTTTAGACATTTAAATGGCAAAGAGGAAAAACTGAACGATTTGCAGGACCATGTGCCACAACAGTGCATTGACGGGTCAATCTCTACACTTTCGTAGCTTCTTATCACTCAACTACAAGCGCAGTATAGTAAAAACTCTTCTATCGAGCACCAAAGATAGCTTCCAAGAGGAGTTAGGCCTACTACAATCTATTTTTGACGAGAACGGCTATCATGGCAGTTTTATTGAGAAGCTCAGTTGGACATTAGTGCAAAACTAGCGGTATACGGCGTTCCTAAGAAGAAAGTCTATTTATTTTCTCTTCAAAGGCGACGATAACAGCCTGACTTCCCAAAAACGAGTGAAAAAATGTGGTAAAACCCAATTATAATACTACCAACCCACTCGTCATGTACACAACCGAAAGCACAACCAATCCACCTACAAAGCAACCCCTGTCACTGTCCGCCGAATCATACGTTATTTAACACTAACATTTTACATTGGCAAAACAGGTAGGTAGTTGCATACTTAGCTCCAGGAGCAGATTCTATGTTGGGTTAGACACCGACTGACCGAATCGCATAATTAAGGGTCATTCTGCAATTTGACCCCGCAAAAGCCACACACACATCACCTACCGGTAACACGCATTAACATTACACCAATACGCCCCCCCCCCCGATCTTACCTTAGGACACCAAACACAAACAGCCTGCGTCATGTATCGCTCAACATATGCTGATGACAAATCATGTTCCGGATCCGACAAAGCCGATTAAAACCAAGCCCCGGCTGCTTAGGTTTACGGAGTCGGTTGAAATTGGAAAATAAAAAGCTGGCCTATGTGTAAAAAGAACTGTCAGTCACAGTCTCACTTCCTTGACAGTGGTAAACGTGTACTGATCCGGTCCTGTCCTATCCGTGTGTAACCTGATGTACTGCTCAATGATATAAACTGTAGTTTTCTGCCGTTTTGTACCAGTTGAGATATTGCAAAATCTGCCTTGGCGTAAATTATGCAACCTAGCTTTGTTGTGCCTTCTCTTAACGTTTATCTCGCGGGATAAATGTTTCGAAGGGAACTGAGATTATTATAATACTGCAAAAGGTGTTGAACTATTTAGGTGTATATAACTTAACACGCTGAAACTGAACCTTATCGATAAACAATCCACTATTTGTAATGAGATATAACGACAACTTTCAAACAATACTTTTTGGTTTTTCCTTGCCTTTTACAGATTTATTCCGTCAGTTATTAGTATATTTAATCTCGAATAGCTGATCATCGGTTTTTGTGTGTGTAGCATATAGCCGAATAGTTACAAAAGGTTGAGGTCATAAAAGGTGACTTGAAGAAAGCGGTGCAGTGCTTACAATAAACAACATGAGAGGTGATAGCCATCAGGTGGTCCCGAAGGTCGTACCTTCGAACCTTCTATTGGCTGCTGCCCCTTCCTGAAGACCGACAGTACAATTATCGGTTCATTAAGAAATGAGTTAAATAAAAAGAAGAAGGAATGAACGAAGCAGATATGCAAGTGTTAATAAAAGTCAACGAACAACGTTGGCGGACAAGGAGAGCTAGAGAACTTTTACATGAAGTTTAGGCAAATCACTTTCCACCATCATGTTCGGTTGCTTGCGTAACTGAGTGTAATGATTGTATTAGAAGTAGTAGTACGCACGGAATTCGGAACACCAACTACCAATATGAGTTACAGGACCTGAATCGATAATTAGCTATCACGGACTGGATCGCAGAAACACTGGACCACAGTGGCACGGATTCGCAATGTCCCACGAGAACGAGACGCGAGAAAAAGGCCACAGGACTGGCAGTAAGTAGATCGTCTATTGGAAGAAAGGAAGGTGATTAAATAATATGTACAAAGGGAGATTATCGGCTAGCTGGGCTTCCACCAATTGGATTGCAGTACTGCTTGCATCATCTTGCTTCTGTCTGCCCTGTTTTGGATTGGCTGGCACCATCCACCAATGACGTGTATTCAGATGCCATGCACGTCTTATTGACGTCAGCATTCAAACTTGATTGATCGCCAATGTCATGAAACTGTAACGTGCCGCTCCAGGGTAGACGCCATCGTGTACGCCTGGATCAACACAATGAGGTTGCATAACTCGAAGCTGTATGACTTTGGCAAACTAATAGCTTTCTCGAATGTAAATCTTAGCGATGATTTGTGGGTTTCTCGTGAAAATCCTGTAGAAAAATATAAACGGATTATTCCTGTTCACTCTCCATCAGGTACTGCAGAATTGAGCTATATGCTGTCCTATTTGATCTCTTTATCAAATATCACCTCGGATAAGCTGAGTGTTTTACGTATTTTCAAATATTTTGTTTCTCATCCAGTTATCCCGGTCTGATTAGCTTTGAAATTACTGAACTTATTACACACACTCATCTCGCACCAGCTTTTATCATCAATTGGTTGATACTGGTCAATTGCTAAAATGAAATATGCAAAAGGCATTTTTCACGTTACAATTTTTTAATTAAGCAATTTGGAAGATATATCCCACTTTGGAATCTAGAGATTGCCCCGGTTTATCATTGTTTAGCACTTTTCGATCTCCGACAGCCTTCTCCTCATCCGATTCGAATGTAAATGGAACGTCATGAAACAGTGACCAAAATAGGCGCACGAAAGTGCATGGTTAGCGGTGGTGAAAACTGAAACTGAGTGTCTAAAATGACCCTTTGGTACATCACATTTCTGTACAAATCGCTTAGAGCATCACTCTGATTTAAAACCCATAAACAAATACTACCCAAGCGTCTACAGTTCAAAATTTCGCCCGAAAATCATCGATAGCATCATTGTATAGTGTTTTGGTGTATCCGCTGGGCAAGACGAAGTGAACTCAACTCTGGTTTCCAAAGGTCTGATCGAGTGTTTAGTTCACAAACCTAAGGAATTAATTTAACATTTCTTGCTCTGATGCATTGTTTCACGGCTCACACTGCTTCCAAAATGTGGATGATAAAGGTTTAACCAATTTAAGTAGTTCAAACAATAAATAGGATACACGTGAGTGCATTTTTGAATTTCTATTAGCACATTCTTTTTAATCGTGTATCAAAAGTAACCTTGCAATGCTAGTCGCAAATTCAAGGAAAATGCGTCCAAGAAAGTGGGTTCTTAAGCACACTAATGGACAGGGAAAGTAACGAAGAAATTTTATCAAATCAACCATAGTATCGGATGATAATGTGTGGGTAAAGCAACGGTCACCTACCTATATTGCGGATTTTTATTCAAAGACCTTAACTAAAATGAGGTAAATTCAACGGACACTATGGCATCATGTTTTGTCCCACCTGATCCTACATATTATTATAACCGACAGAGTGTTGAATCACTTTGTTCCTTCTACGGAGAAATCAGATTGGCATGTCACTTTTGTTTCCCTGCCAAGCCCCATGAGCTTTCAGGTTGCAAACTGAAAAGATCACCCAGCGGAATTTCAGAGTCAGCAGTCAACACACAGTTATATTCATTANACACAGTTATATTCATTAATATAACGTCATTTTGGTCTAGAACAAGCAGATTTTCAAAATCCGGGGTCAGTAAATTGATTAACCGATCAATAAAGAGCCTCTGGTGTTCGTAAACGAGCAAGTCTTAAACCGTGAAAATGTCAAATTACTGGATTATGGCTTCCAACATTCCTAGTGGCATTGGATTCAAACAATGTTGAGTATCAGTTAATAATCCATAGGTCTTACGGAATATTTCGAAAAATTTTGGGCTTTGTGCTCATGGTAACAATAGAATCAGATTTGTTTTAGCCACAACGTGAGCACCAAAACACAAGATTTCGGTGACAAC